TTGCAAATGAGATAATTTTTGTGAAAATCCTTATGCAAAGGCTTATTGTTTTTAGATGCTTAACTCAGGAAAATTGAAAATGTTCATCTATTAATTTATTTGCTTTGTTGCAAAGCAACAAATAAGTATATTTTTATAAAAAATTCACAAATCTAACATTTCATTTTTGAGTGATTCACATTCAAATTAGTGTTTCTCATAATTAAAATATGTAACTTGAACTAGATGGTGTGTATGTTATGTTCTGATCCTCATTAGTTAATAAGGTATAGCATTAACTACTTATATGGCTATGTCTAACAAAAATGTTTACCATTTTAATGGGCTTAAAAATGCTTAAACAAATCATACAGGCAGAAAGGACTTGGATGACTTGATATTTTAAATTAATGTCAATATAAGTAGACAAGTTGATGTTTTGTCTTAAAGGTAAATGCTGGGTTATCATTATCATGGTTAAGAACAAAAGTATTTTAAATGGGCAGATAACAAAGATAAATACACATTTATTATTTTTTTGATCTTGAGATCACAATTTTGTATTTGCACATTACCCTTAAACCACATCCTGCATGTTTTGAATTTCAGAGACTTTAGGATTAAGGGAAGTTCTTTTTATCTAATGCTTATTCTCAGAGTTTGTTTTGATTTTTTTTTCCCCTAGCATGATACATAAGAGTTTTGAGTTCTTTAAAGATCCTCTGGACTTATGAGCAAAGGAAGAAGAGGATTAAGATGATCTTATTTTTATTTAATATTTATTAAGCACACAAGTTATTCCAGAATTTTTGGAAAACACCATAAAATAGCCTCAAAAAATGTATTGGCCTCTTAGATTTTTAGATTCAGATGTCTAATCAATTCTGCTACCTTCCTACTACAGATGAGGAAATTGAGTCACAAAGAGCTTAAATTGTTTATCTCTGGTCATGTAGCTGGCTAATGGCAGACCTAGAAGTAGACCTTAACGTTTTCACTCCCACCCAGTCTAGACTCTTTCTATTATACCAAACTGCCATTCATGACTACTAAATATTTCCAACAAGGATAAATATGTAATTATACATTAGAATGGAGGGACACTGAGGGCAAGGATGGTATCTTGTTCATCCATGTGCCTAGCATGCAATAACAATAAACACTTTGTAAATATATATTGAATAATAGAGCTGCTGACTGGTGCTCATTTCACTCTATCACATGGCGTAGGAATCAGTGCATCATCTTTGACTTAGATAAGCATCTTAATTGAAACCTAGCTGTTCAGTTAGCCTTGATTTTGTGGTCTTGCTAGCAATAAAGGGCATAAACTCCTCCTAACTAGGAGGAAATAACAACCTCTAGAGCACTGGTCTTAAAAATTCTAATGCTCAAAGTGATCATACAAAGTTCCCTGTGCAAATATCATTTTACGACCGTCCAAGTTGATGTTCCAGCACAGTCCCTGACTGTATTGTTAAACTGCCCAGAGGAGCAGACAAGTCCACACAGGCTCAGCAATTTCTATCACAATAGGGTTCTTTAACAAGATTTTTAGAAACCAAGTAAGTAATTGAAAAATTACAAAATCACACTGGGTAATGTAAGTTATGTCTAAGGTAGTATTACAATTATATTTTGATCTAAATCCAAAAAATTATATTTGATCCCCAGACAACTAAAACTTGTGTGACAACAACCTTCTCCAATAGACAATAATCCAGGCAAATGGGTGCTCTCTTTAAAATGAGACTTTTGTCCCAAATCCCAAAGTAGACCCATGATGAGCTAAGCTAAACTACATGAAGGATGCCTTTTTGTCTGTACTAGATTTTGTCTTAAGTGACCTAAGGCACTTGAAATAGATTGAGAGGCCTTCTTGCCTCCTTTTTACCCAAGCCCTCCTCTAAATAAATCTTCATTTACCAGTCTAATAAGAAAGTCTTGGCAAGAAAACAAGCCCGATTTTTTTTCTAAGGCCAAGAGGAAATTAGCCTAATCTATTCACCCTAGTCTTAGTGTGTGAACAAGGAAAAGAGACAGCATGCTAGGGCCTCTGCTGGACAGATATCCTGACTCATCACTTCTCCTTGGGGGTGGTATGAGGGAGATGACTGCTGGGGCTGGGAGGGCTGGATCTTCCTCTAGATAGAAACAACAAATTACATATAGGTGAGAAGAGGCTGCAGCATGTTGTTGGGCAATATCCATGGGTTACTGGGTTCTAATCCTGGCTCCACCACCTACTATATGGGTGAACTTGGCCAAATTATTTACCGGTTCTATCTTAGACTTTGGGGAATGGATGGCACCTCTTTCCATTTTCATATCACTGGCTGATCCCTCCAGCCTTTCCTCACTATCAGGACAGTAGAGGGGCAGTAGAGTGTAATGGTGAAGAAAGTGGGCTCAGCAATCAGACAAATTTGGCTTCTAATTCCAGCTCTGTTACATATACCTATAACTTTGGAAAATTGCTTAAGTCACAGCTTTCTAATAAGTAAAATGAAAGTGATAAGTGTGCTTGCTTAGTAAGTTCTTTGTGAGTGTTAGATGGAATAATGCATATAAAGTGTTTAGCATAGTGCATGACCCAGTCTGTACAGTGCATCACCCAGATCGATTATTCAATAGATATTAGATTTTCATAACAATAGCCAAAACTTGGATGTGAGCTTAAGTGGGATGTGGAAAGAGGAGGCCTTTCAGCCAGGTAGAATCTTAGACTCAGGGTTACCTTGGGCACCTAAATAACAATTGTGCCTTCCCATAATTCAGCCAAAGTCCTTAGGCTATGCCTCCAGATATTGCCAACAAAGCTTCCAAGTAGTCCTGAATGTTCACTAGTCTTAAGTTTTCATTTCCTTCAGACTCTTTGCAGGAGTGGGTAGTGGATAAGGTTGAGGGTCTGGAGTATTCTTGCTTAATCCAATCTTACTACCATTCCTTTAACCATAATAAAGTTTAAATGCCAACATCCTTTCTAAAACGGGAATAAATAGAATTTGTGTCTATTGTGCTCATACTGGTTGCAGCAGTCCTCTGATCCTGAAGAGTCAGGGCAAAGTCTTCACCCTCTTTGTACTTCTCAGTCATCTCTTCTGTTCTATCTTCCACTCTTCACAGCACCATATGCTCGAGCCCCACATTGTCTTCTCCAGGAGACTTTTCAAGTTCCCCAGTGATGTCTTTAAATTAAAAATCTGACCTTGGTACTCTGTTGCGTAAAGCTACTCAATGACTTCCTATTGCATTTAAATCAAATTGAAAGTCATTCTTAGAGCCCACTTGCCTACAGAATCTGGCTCCTATCTAATCCCAAAATTTATCTCATGTTATCCCTTCCCTACCCACTTCTCTGCCCTTACTATAACCCAGCCACATTGACCTTCTTTCTATTTCTTGAACAAGCCAGGCTATTTCCTGTATGAGGGCCATTGCACTTGCTGTTCTCTCTGCTGGAATGTTCTTGCCTTGCATCTTCCCATTGCTTTCTCATTATTCAAGTGTCCATTAAAACATTTCCTTCTCAGAGAGAGGCCTGATTCAGCCTTTACTGTTCTCACAGCACAATAGCTCTATATGCAATTATTTGTTTACATATTTTTGATTCTTCTTTCTCCTCTGAAAAGCAATCTATTGAGAGCAGGGACCTTGTCTTATTCACTATTCATCAGTGTCTAGAACAGTGACTTTCTCAGAGCCAATCAATAAACATTCGTTAAATGCGAGAATGAATGAATGGGATGAAGTCTTCCTTTAAAGTAGGCTGGTCTCCACCTATGCCCCTTTCTGTATCTTTGAAATTTGTTCAGCACTGAATAATAATGTTTAGGATTTTGCCACCTTTATAACAGCTATCTTTTATATAATCCCTTTAACTCTCCATGTGGTCACCCTGCATTTTACCTTCCAGGTAATACTGCTATCTTCCCTTGTTCATTTGCTCACTGATTGCTGAGTGGGGCACCATCACTTCTCTTTTTGGGTTGGGGAGGGAGAGGTGAGATACTTATTAAACCCTTGGATTGACCCTAGAGTTTCCACCAGAAGGGACTCACTTCCAGGCAGTGTCACTTGGAGATATCTAGTCCCAGGAAACACAGAGACCTCTTTAAATTATTTTAATTTCTCCTATGCCCTTTGGGCAGTTCCAAACTACAACTGTATTTTCACATTGCTTTATCCGTACATTCTTTATTTGTGCATTGTCATGCCATTCTTCATAACCGTATTTATTCTTTCCCACTCTTGTTTGCATTTTCTATGTCCCTCAATACAGCACCCCCCATAACTTAGGCAAGAAAATATGGCAATCAACATGATTTTCTATCATGCCTAATTTCCTTAATTCAATTAGCCATTCATTTATTCATTCAACAAATATTTATTGAGTGCCTAGTGTGTATCATACACTGTTCAAAGCCTAGGAATATACTAGTGAACAGGATAAAGTCTCTGCCCTCAGGTAGCATACGTTCTAGTAGGTGTTGACAGCAATAAATAAATTTAAAATACATTTATAGTATGTATTATGTTATATGTGTTGTAAACATATGTAATATATTGAGACATACAATATATCTATTTTGATTGTCTATCTTTATTCTTAAATCTTAAAATTTTATTTTGTTGTAAAGTAGGCATGATAGATATGAATTCTGAATGGTGTTCTTAATTAAATCATGATTTACTCAATACCTTGTGGTATATTCAGTAATTATTAAGTAAACATACTGCTATGTGTTCATATAAACATTGACAAGCTGTAACAAAGAAGAGTTCAGCATGCCCCATCATTTTTAATATTAGAATTTTCTTACAAAATATAGATTAACTTGAATAAGCCAATAATACACTAATACCTCTCAAGAACATCAAAGTTCTGCCATTATTCCTCCTCCCAACCCAAAACAACATGTAATTTGTAAATTCAGGTGTGTTGATATCATTTTAAAGATCTTTTTCCTAAACTGAAACATTTTTAAAAGGTCTATTTAAGGCCACAGGAAAATAGCTACTTCCTTTGATCTTTACCCTAATTAGATTACAGAGTTTTAAAAGTTTATTCCATCAACTATTTTATCTCTAGGTTAAAGAAAAAAAGTCATCCTGAACCCAAGTGGAAGCCCCCAGTGATTAAACAGGGAAAATGAAATAAGAATATGAGTCATTCCTTTAGACCATGCACAGTCTTGTATAGAAGGGGAAGTATGGCAGTATGAGTTTTCATAACCCCACTATGTTCCTAATTTATACATAGGGTTGAGGACATCTTCCCAGAGAATGTGCTCATTCTCATAGCAACAATTTACAACTAATTTTGAAACATTCTTCCAAACTTGCTGAAGTGCAGACTGGTTATTTAGAGGGAACAAAGACTTGAGTTAGTAAACCTTCATCTAAAGCCTCAACTTGGCCCCTAACTGTGGGTCCTTGGGAAAAATATTTAATGTTTTTCTTATATGATTAAAAAAATGGAAATATAAATGCCTAACTTACTTAGCATAAGTGCAAGTAAAGCCCCTGTCACATAGAAGATTGTCAATAAATTGTGATGGTTATACTTCTCATCATCAAGCATGCAGATGACTCATACCCATTTTGAGGTTAAAGTATGGGAAGTAAGTAGAAGAAAGATATTTTTTATTCTCTCTTTTCTTTTGTTCATTTATGTGTTTAATCAATAAACATTATCACATGTCTTCTGTGTTGGGCATGAGGCTTGACTATGGAGGAACCAAGATAAATGATACCTTCCCTGAAATCAAGACAAATGATAGCTTCCCTGATAACAAGCAGCTCACAATCTAATAGGGGAACAAAGCAGTCAAGAGACCAATAAGATACAGTGTGATAGTTTAGGGATGAGCTAAGAAATGGGTTCTGTGGGGACACTGAATGGAGGAGGGAGAGTTGGTCCACAAAATCCTCCAAGAAGATGAGTTTCAAAGGATAAGAGAAAATGCTCAGATGATAAAGGAGAGGAATTTCATTCCATATTTCCTGATGGAGAAGTTGTTTGTCTTCTTCACTAGACTGTGAACTCCATGAGGTCAGGGTCTTATTTTGTACAATATTATATCTCCAGCACCTAGGACAGCACCCATTACACACTGGTGTCTCATTAAGTATATTTGAATGAGCCTATCTAAAGCATAGTATCATTTACTCTATTCAGAAGCCTACATTAAAAGATGTAGATGAGTTTTTTATTTCATAATTGTATGGAGACAATGAAAGGATTTTTTGAGATTGATAAAACCCAGTCTATAATGAGAATGATAAATAATTTACTATACATTAATATTTAATGAATTACAAAGCCTATGTAGTGTGTTTGGGTATCAATTTATTGTTTCTCCTCACTAAGGAAGTGGTTTTAACCCATAATAAGTTTTGTTAATTGATGAGACTCGTTTCTGCCTTGGTCATATCCTCTATTGTGTGTCTCAGGATGCTGTTATCCCGCTAGGATGACCACATTCTTTCAGCCTCTCTTATTACTGATTTCTTAGTCTTTGCTGTTGCTAAAGCCCTTTGATTCAAACCAGTACACTCTGCAAAGTGCTGAGTGCCTATCCACCTGCTAATGAGAATGCCTGTGCAATGTCACAGTCATTTTTCTGCTAGGTTCCAAGATTGTCTCTTATTCTCCTAATAAATTGTATTCTCCCTGCAAGATGGGTGTCCCATCAATGTTGATGGTGAAAAGCAAATAAAAGTCCCTTTGTTTATAAGAATCACTTTGTTTTTGGAATCTGAACTGAAAACAAAACCTCTCTTCCTGCCTGCCACCCCACAAGCATAACGTAGTAGTAAGGGTATAGGCTTTGTAGCCAAATGCTTGGGTACAAATTCCAGCATTATCACTAACTATTCCTAGTACCTTTGTCTGGCTGCGTCAGATCCTCTTCCTTTCTTCTCCACCCTACTCTCCACCCAAGGAGACTTCTTCTAGGGAGGATGTGGTATCAGGTCCCTGGCCCTAGTTAGATTTGGCCAACAGGAGGCTCCAGCAGGAGGATATTTATTCTCTTGATCCTCCTTCTGTGGGATTATCTACAGCTATCTATGTCCCTTAAAATAGGGTCTCTGCTCTTCTCCAGGATGCTCTCAATCTGTACATCTCTCTCTCCTTTTGGGTTCTTATAAACTCTCCCACTTAGGGGTTGAGGGAGAGGCCAGTGGTAGGAATGGTGTCAGTTTAAATACTAGTGTCCCTGGCTTCATGCAGTATCCTTTGTTGTGACCCTAAATGCCATCCATTAACCCCTGTGCAAATAAACAAATGTTGCCATTGTCATTGGAATTCTGACTGACACGCTAACCGTATAAGCCTAGGTCCTAGCACCTCCTTGTGCTTCAGTTTTCTTGTCTATAAAATAGGATTAATAATGGTACCTACATTATGGAACTTGTGTTAGGATTAAATGAGAGAAAATCTTGGCATATAGTAAGCACTCATTAAAAGTTACCTTTAACACTATTATTGTTCTGTTGCATGGTGACACTCTCTGTGAAGCATGCGAAGATTAAATGAATAGCACCCTGATAGATTATCTTGTTGGACTTTGTTTAATACCTCAATTCCAAAACCATATTGGTTACACACTTGCCTTGAACCAAGAGCCAGGAGAGAGATTAAACAAACAAAGTTAGATAAAGATACAGTCTCAAGCCTACAAGGACCTCAAACACTACAATATAAAGTAGTATGTGCAAAAATAGAAATATTTTAAAAACTTTTATGGGATCTCAGGTGAAAAGCAGAGGAAATTCCCAAGATGATGGTGAAAAGAGTTCCCCAAAATGATTTAATTCTAGTGGAAGTCTAGAAAGAGTCAAGTACAGGTAAAAGGAGACAGTGAACTCCCAAGGGCATGTCTCCAAGAAAAATAAGAACTGACAGATTATGAATGCATTGAGGAAACAGTGATAGTTCTACTGGAAATTCTGGAGTGGATTAGTGATAGGTACATAGAAAACTCAGGGGGGTGGAAAGCCAAGGCAATAAACCTCCTATAAAATAAAAAGTTGTTGAAAAAAATGAAATGTAATCATGCTGGGGGAATAAATACTTTGACCTCTCTGATTCTATGCCTCAGCTGTGGCTAATATTTAAATGGTCTTAAAATTATAAACACTGCATAATCATTTAACCTAAAATTATGATATTGCTCTATTGGGGAGATGGGAGGAGGAAAAGTTAAAAACAAATTCTAAGTTAAAAAATTAAGAAATATCAGTATTAATATGTTATTTAGAAACAGCTAAATGAGTTAAATGAGGTTCTTTTGAGGAACAGATATCATGATTAGGGAAGAGTGAAGAAGGTAAAACAATATTTCTTGATAAGCTTTGAGGTAGTATTTGAGTCTTAGAAAATATATGAATGTATTATTTAATACAAATAAATAGTAAATATGGAATTAAACATAAACATTTTGCTCAAAAGTGGTTACATGAAAGGAGCGGGTGAGAGGGGCCCTGGAATGGTAGTTTGGCATAAGATTATGGATAATCTACAGTACTAAGAAGCTGCACTTCAGAACTCCAAGTAGGTAATAAAACAAGGAGAAACATATCCATATTTCTGTTTTAGAGAGGAAATTCTGGGATACTTTTGAAGATGGCTGGAGTGAAGTATGAATAGTGTCAAAGAAAGTAGTTATGAGAGCTCGGCAGAGAAATAATGAGGTTTGAAATAAGATGTTGGCAATGGTCATAGAAAGCAAGGCATGGTTTGAGATAGATCTTTAAGGTAAAATAAACAGAATTTAGTGATTGATTAACTGTGGGAAGTAAAAGAGAAATCAAAGTTAATACTTCTACATTTTGATGGTGAAGCTATTTGCTGTTGTATGAAGCATAATTAAAAGTGGATTAATAGAATGATGATATGGTTTTACAAACCAATATGCCTGGATTACATCCAGTTAGAATGATATAGTAGACAGTAATGTTGAAATTCAGGGGAAACCTCAAGGCTGGAGCTAAAGATTTTAAGAGAAATTATCCATATGAGTCTGAAGTTCGTGAAACAATAAGAACTGATACTTAAAGCCATGAAACTAGATAAGATCAACTGGTGAGTGAATGTAGATAGAGAAAAGATTAGGACTGAGCTTCGAAGAATACCAAAAGTTAGAGATCAGAAAGAAGAGAAGGAGCCAGTAAAGAAAAGATTGGTGAAGCCAAAAAAAATTGGGGGAATAGGTGATGTCACTGAAGCCAGATAAAAAAAGTTTTGAGACAGAGGAAGGTGAAGAATCGTGTCGAATGCTGCAGGGAGTGCAAGTAAAATAAAGCATGAGAATTGACCATGGGATTTGGTAAGAGGGAATAGCAGATGTGAGAGATGGAGCTGTTCAGCAGAGTACTCCAGGAAAAAGACTGATTGTGTTGGCTAAAGAGATCATGAGAATTGTAAAGAGAAGCAGAAACTTGGGACTGTAACTAGCTGTTTCTTTTTCATATAATAGGTCTTGCAGCATGTTTATATGTCAATAGTAATGATCTTACAGAAAGTAAAAAATCAATGAATCAAGAGTAACAAGAGAGGAACTGTGGTTCAATGCACAAAAAAGGCTGGCCTTGGATAGAAGCCTAGATATTCCAGCTCTAGTAACAAGATAGAAGGAAGAACATAGGTCCACATGAAGATGCATAGGTAGATTTGATGGGAGGAAGATGAGGTGGTCCTGATGTGGTTGCTTATATTTTCAGACAGAAAGTCATTGAATGTGAGAAAAAGGATATTGTTGAAAGTGTGACGAAGGAAGATGTGAAAAAAATTAGGAGTGTGGGAGGGAGGAAGAGCATATCATAGACAATTATTATGCAAGGGCTATGGGTCCAATCAAGGTTTTGGTCATTAATATTTGTGAGACCAGTCATCATAGTTTTCTTTTTCCTTAGCCAAACTCAGTTGTTGCTAATCAGAATATAAGGAGAGTTGGGTTGAAATAGTGTTAGAATTTTTTCAAAGAGTGTAACAGAAGGATGTGTGCAAGGAAATTGAAGGGGTACACAAGTGAACAGTTATGATGCTGCGCCATGGAATCTAAGCTGGGTAAAGAAGGAAGTGAGTATATAAAGAGGGTAATAACCAGTGAAACGTGGTGATTTAATGGATTTACAGCTCCGAAGATCTGAAAGGGTTGTTGAATTGGGGCTTCCAGAGTATGTAAGCTACAAAGATAGAAGATGGAGGTCAGAAAATGGTATCTTTGAAGACAAGATTTTAGGATTGTGTAGTTAAAGAAAGAGTGGATATTCATCACAGAAAATTTAGAAAATGTCACTCTATGAAAATACATGTACCCTATTTTCATACATATTTTTGTGTAGCGGTGTGTTTCTGAAGTTATTACTTTCCATTATCCCTGTATCACTGTGTCAATGATGTAAGATTTAATTATTGTAACTTTATATCTAATAGTGCAAGTTGTGTTGCTTATTTCTCCTTTTAATTATCTTAGATAGCGTTAACCATTTATTCTTCAAGATAAAATTTTAAGTAATCAAAAATACCCCATTAGTATTTTGCTTAGAATTCCAATACATTTATTTTATAATAATAACTTTTCTTTAGCAATGTAACCTCTTTGTTTAGTTTTTTATAATATTTTAGAAAAGTTTTTTATAAAAAATGTTTGGAGGAATGTCATAATTTTAAAAAATCATAATGCAAATAAAGATTGCATGCACAATAGCTCATAGGTTATTGCTAGTGTAAAACCAAGCTATTATTTTTTGTATAGATATTTTGTATTGGGTCAATTTATTGAGGTGTCTTAGGAGTTTTTCAGTTAACTCTCTTGGGTTTTCTAAGTAAATTATCAGTTTATATACAAATACGATAATTTTCTTTTCATCTTTCCAGTATTTAGAGCTTAAGCTTTTAATATTATCTTCATTCACTACAATTTCCAGAACATTTTGGATACTAATAGTGAGATCAGAAATTCTTAAATTATTCTTAACCTCACTGGTAATGCAAAAAAAGCCTTTTCAAATATGAGTATGTTTCATAAACTGGGAGAGAAAAAAAATAACAAAAGGCCATCCCCATGGCCTAGTGGTTAAGTTCAGCGTGCTCCACTTCAGCAGCCTGGGTTCGGTTCCCAGGTGCGGACCTACACCACTTGTCGGCGGTCATGCTGTGTCAGTGACCCACATACATAATAGAGGAAGATTGGGACAGGTGTTAGCTCAGGGTGAATCTTCCTCAGCAAAAATAATAACAATAATAATAACAAAGTCAATGATTCCCCTCAGAAATCAAATCTCCAACTGTTGCAGAATGGACAAACCAGCTACATGAAAACTCTTAGGTTCTTTATGGTAAATAACTATAGATTGCAAAAATGGCCACAGTTCTCCACTTTGTCCTGTATCCATGCTCCTTTGCAATGATGCTTTGCAGCTCTTCCCATCAAAAGAGGTCACTTTCCCTGCCTCTTTCATCTGAGCTGGCTGTGACCTGCGCTGGCCAACAGGATGTGGAAGTAGAGCTGTACTGGTTCTGAGCCTAGCCTCTAACAGGAAGGACAAAGAACTGTCTTAAACATAACCCCGAGAATTGTGTGAAGAGTGAAAAGATATGTGTCTAATAAGAGCATACAGAATTCTAAAATAACGATCAGCATAAAGCATTTCAGAAAATATCTGGTTTCAGAGAAATTTATAACGACAGACCTTTTGAAATGTTAGAAAACAATTGTTTGTCAGAACTTAAACTCCATTTGCAAAATCATTTCTTTTCTGAATTGAAAAGAAGATTCCCTAAAGCTAATGATTCATAAAAACATTCCAGAGTTTTAAAGTTCTAGGAGATAAAAATTTTTTCTTCATCTGTCTGCATCAGGGAGCATGCTGACAGTCTCCAAGGGGTAGCACAGAATGAGCTTGTCTCACAGCTCTCATACCCTGAAATGGATGTTTCAGTTTAGTGCAGCAACATACTGCTTAGTATGCTTTTTTTTTTTGAGTCACCTTGGCTTCACTGTTGAAAAAGTCCCGTTTCAATGTATCAGGTTTATGTCTCCTCATTAGCATTTGGCAAGAAAAATCAGGCAACTCATGTACTCAACTCATAACAAGTTTATGAATTTGTATTTTAATCCACTTCTGGGAAAAGATAAGCAGCCAAAGATCCAAATGATAGATTAATG